ATATATTTTCTTGTAGTATATATATTGTATCTTATGTATATATTGTATCTTATAAATATATTTTCTTGTAGTATATATATTGTATATTATGTATATATTGTAGCATATAAATAATTCTAAGTATAGACAAAGAAATATTGCGAAAAGAAGCTCATGGGTAGAAGCAATAAATTTTATTACCAAAAAATGACATATCTTTCTTAGTCATCCTTCCCCCAATGGAATGAGCACAACAAGGTACTAATACCACCATTAGAAGGAAAAAAACTAAGGAAGATGTGCCAAAATACAAGTTACATATTATTCTATGTATTATCTCTAACAAATCTCATAAATCCTTCAAGGTTCGGAGGAGGTTGCGTTGGTGGTGGTGGAAAAGAAGCTTGTTCATCACCACTTCCGGGCGAAGCCGAATCCTCCGTAAGTTCCGCTATCATTTCTTCATAAGCTTCATCTATCGCCGGTTGTGCTTCTGCAATTCCAAAGTTTCTTCTTTCCGAGCGGATCCAATCTCTAAACAATACTGATTTTTCCAAGCTATCCCTCATAGACGCTCTATGATCACCTATTTGCAGTCTTGCTTGACTGAAAGCGCTCTCTGATGCAACAGTTGAAGCTTGAATTGATAAAATATCCCGAGCCATCCTTGCAAGAACAGGAAAATGTTTTTCCCTTGCCTTCCACCATTCCAAAAGATCAAAAGAGCCGTCTGGATTCTCCTTTTCAAGTCCTTGAGACAAATAAACTTGAAACTCATTTAGATGTGAAGTTTCATCATAATTTTCACCTTGAGACCCCCTGAAGTCCGTTCAAGATTTAAGAGCTTTTAAGCCCGCAACTCTTTTAGACGATTATGAGCTAGACGAAGTAGGAGTTGGAATAGTTGGCCTAGCATGCTCTAAGGCAAGTGTCGCAATTTCCTCATTTGAAAGATCTAAAGCCTTATAAATATTTGAATACCAAAAATGAGGACCTCCCAATTTCATTGTAGGATTTAGCATTGCAGCAAGACCATAAATAGGAGGGATAGGAAAAAAATATTTTTTAAACTTTTGTTTCATTTCATTTATAACTAAACATTTGAAAATAGTAGGATAATATTGCCCAATAAACAAATCAGATAGTGCTGCAATATAAACTAAACAGTTTGAAATAGTAGGATAATATTGCCCAGAAAATGCATTTGTTGCAATTTGAAAATGTTCTAAAAAATCTAAAAGAATTTTAACATTAGTCCAATCTTGAGTGGTAAGCATTTCATCATCATCTTCACCACCTACCCGAGAATTAAACGTTGCATTAATTGGGTTTCTATATTCATATGCTACTACTAAACTTTCGTACATACAATTCCATCTAGTCGGGCAAGGTTTAGGAACCTTTCTTTCTCTAAGGCCATATTCATCACATTTTTTAAAATACTCTCTAAGTCTACTTCTACGGTTTGAATAAAAAAGCCAATTAAGAGCCATTCTAACCTTTTCAATTTCTATGTTTAATATTCGCATACCATCACCGACAATTAAATGATAAATATGACAAATACATCTAACATGGAAAATATTAGTAAATGCAGGATTTAGTGTTGTTGTAAGCATGCCTATAGCACTGGTGTTACTAGAAGCATTATCCATTGAAATTGCCATTATTTTATCGCTAAAGCAAAAATATCTACAAATATCTGCAACAGTGTTAGCTATAAATTTACCTGTGTGACGCGAATTAATTATTCTATATGCAATTATGCGTTTTTGCATTATCCATTCTTCATCTATCCAATGACTTGTAACAGTTAGGTAATCACAATCATTACCACTTCTACCAATATCAGTAGTAATAGAAATCCGATTAGGTATATGAGTAAATAAATAACGCAAATATTGTTCATATTCATGTTTGAATTTATAAATATCACTCTTAACTGTTGCGCGAGGCCAACCTTTATAAGTAGGATTAAACACTCTTCTAATATAATGAACCCAATTAGGATTAGAAGCAAAAGTATAAGGTAAGCACATAACAGTAATCATCTTTGCTAATTCTTCACGATCTCTATTTGGATCGTAATATAAAATACCTCCAGTGACAGTGTTAATTCCTGGTTGAACTAGATTTGAACCTGTACTAGGGTTAATCGCAGAATCTACACTTGTCCCCTCTAGATGCGCTTTCATTTGAAAAAATCTAGCCTTATCTCTAGGGTGTGTTTTTATGTGCCTAGTCAAACTACCTGTGCCGCTACGGTCTCCTACATATTTATGCGACATTAATTTCCCACAAGTTTTACACTTAGCCTTATTTTTTTCTCTTACTTGAGTAAAAAAATTCCAAACTAATGATGTTTCTAAGCGTTTAGCAGGTTCTCTATTAAAAGTAGGAGTTTCTACAGGTGGGTCGACCGGTGCATCACTTGGGTTATTAAGAGGACTAGTAGGTGTATCATCTAAATCCGGTGCTTGAGTTTCATCATCATCCTCATTTTCCTCATTATTTTCTAAGATGGTTTCATTAGGATAAAGAGCATTCATAATTTCATCATCTAATCTATCACCTGGTGCAACATTATGATAAAATTCACTATCGGTAAATTGAAAACAAGGGTGATCACTATCAAGAATTACGGAAGGAGGAGGACGTCTAGGTTGGCGACTACTTTCAACTTGCTTATCTTTTCTAGGTCGGGGAGCCGGGGGAAGGGTAGTTGGTTGGCCACTACTTTCACCGGTTTTATCTTTTCCTTTACCAAACATTTTTTTCAAAGTAAATGCCATATTAATTATAATTATGCAAACTAANCCCGACCCACCAAGCCCGTTAGGACCGCGGGCCCGGTCCAGGCCCGACCCACCGAGCAGCCCTACTCTCTTATTTCAGTTCAAAACAGTTGATCTTTTGTTTCAGTACTATAGATAAATTTGCTATAAAATTTAAATATAACTACAAAGGATAATTTTACAAAAGTATAGTTACGAATTTATATATATTTGTTGTATCATGTAATTTTTCCTTTAATTTTCTTTCTTTACTCGGGTATAATGATCTTTTTAGTTTTTCCTTCTCTCAAATGTCAATATTTAAACCGGGGCGCCACCCAGAATACTCTCCCGCGCAAGTACCCAAAATATGGTGGGGCCCACTGCCACGCTGGCGATCCTCGTGCCCATCACTCTCACCAATCAGCACATTTCATTTCCTCCTATATATATACCCTTACCTCCTTTTCCATCTCAAACCAAAGGCAAATAAGCAACAGGTAAAGAAATCTCTGCTCACTTTCCACACAAATCGAGAGCTAGGGTTAGGGTTTCTGTTTCATCTAAAAATGACTTCTGATGGAGGATCGGGCAAGGGAAAAGGCGGCGCAGGTAGAGGAAAACCTAAGGCGACGAAATCGGTGTCTCGGTCTTCAAAAGCGGGGCTCCAATTCCCCGTTGGTAGGATCGCTCGTTTCCTTAAGGCTGGAAAGTATGCTGAACGTGTTGGTGCTGGTGCGCCGGTTTACCTATCTGCTGTCCTTGAATACCTCGCAGCTGAGGTAATTTTATTTTGTGATTTTTTTGCTTCATTTGATCGATTGAATTTGAATTTAATTGATTTGATTTCGATCTCATTTGTATTGTCGGTTTTAATTTTGTCAGGGATATAAATTCTAATTTTGGCCTGTTTAATAGTCGCGTTAGCAAATTTAAGCTTCAACTAATTAAAGTTTGTGTTTCTAGTAACTTTACCTATCTGCTGTCCTCGTATACCTTGCCGCTGAGTTAATTTTTGTGATCTTTTACTTTTTGTCGATTGAATTTGAATTTAATTGATTTGATTTGATTTCATCTCATGTTGATGTTGGTTTTAATTTTGTTAGGGATAATTCCACTCATGGTTCCTCGGTTATTAATAAATTTTGATTTTTGTCTGTGTAATAGTCGCCTAAGCTAATTTAAACTTCACTTAATTAAAATGTGTGTTTTTAGTCACTTTATACAGGGAATATGTGATTTAAACTACTTTTACAACTATACATATGCGCAAATCTGTAACAAGTTCTGGTTTTGGTACTTGTAATAGTTGCCTAAGCATTTTATTCTTCAATTATTTAAAATGTGTGTTTGCAGTCCCTTTACATAGGAAGTATGTGATGTTTGTATTATTTTTGGAATTACACTATGTTAAAACGTGTAGAAACAATTTGAATTTAACATTTTAATGGTTTAGCACATAATTATTTTTTGTGATCAAAAGTGCATACATTAATTAAATAAAGGGAAAATGTGTGTAACCAGAATTCATGGGGACTAAGTGCAGATTCACCTTTTTATCCATGTATGCCATGGAGATTATGCCTGTTCCTAATCTGTGGTAATTTTGGTGTATCAGCTTTGTTAATGAGTTAGCACTAGCAGTGTGTGGTTTATTCATGTGATTTACTGGGTAAAGATGTTTAGTAATGGATTGTGACAAACATTTGAATAGTTGGTAAAGAGGTTTAAGATTATTGAGTTTAGTTTATTGATTACATTTGCTATGATACTGGAGTTTTGATTTATTTGACTTGTTAGAATTGTTCAATCTTTGTAATCTAAATTGTCATAATGTTTTGGATGTAGGTGTTGGAGTTGGCAGGGAATGCAGCAAGGGATAACAAGAAGAATCGTATTGTGCCGAGGCACATTCAGTTGGCTGTGCGGAATGATGAGGAGCTGAGCAAGCTTTTAGGTCAGGTTACAATTGCTAATGGAGGTGTCATGCCCAACATTCACCAGAATCTATTGCCTAAAAAGACTGGCTCGGGCAAGGGTGATATTGGCTCTGCATCTCAAGAGTTTTAGATTTGCTCTATTTCTTGTTTTGGGGAAATGATTAAAAGTAAACATAGTTATGTAAAATAGAAATGGCTGTTGTCTTGATAATACTTTCGAACATTGAATTCTATGGCATTGTCAACTTGCAGTTTTGGTAATACATTGTGGAATGTTTTTGTGAATGGAATTGGATTAATTGTTCTGAAGTAGAATTTGAGTTTTATCTTGAGTGTGGCATTCAAATTCAAGTTTCTTTCTACTACTTTCTGACCTTTTGCTGTGTCTTTCTTTTTTTAATTGTCATTATCTCAAGTCCAGAAATTTTGTTCTCGACTGATTCTACTAGCTTGTTGCTGTTTGCTGTAGATTGCAGTTTGTTGTGACCATTTTTGTTGCCTCTATGTGTTCTTCTTTTGTTAGTATGTTCCACTGCAAAAGAATTGTCATTTCATTTCCGCAATGGATACATTAAGCTGTCCTGTATTGTGTAATCTGTTGCCTCATAAATTCATTTCTATTTCTGTTGTTATTTATTTGTTATAGCTGATACATGGGAAATATTAAGGGAGTTAGACATGTATTTGATCACTGATTTCAGATGTTGTTTTACAGTAGTTGTGTTTCAGCAGGGAAGAATTTAAATTCAAGCATACTGCATTTTACCCATAACTGTAAATTGTATTGTGCAACATCAAATTCAAGCATCCCTTTCAGCAATATTGCTTGGTTCAAGACTTTGAACTTTCGTTACGTGCTAAACGTTACAATTCTCCATTGTTCTGTGGATAATAATTACCATCAAAGGTTGTAAAGGGGTGTCAAGTATTTTCTCATTCTTAATCGGAAGTTTTGAGTTTGAGTATTGAGAGTGAAAATCGTCCTTGAGTCTTGAGAGTGAAATCGTCCTTGGTAGGGGAGCCTGAACATGGATTTGTTGGCTCCAAAGTGAATATAAGATATCAAATGAAAGGTTAACCTCAACCAAGAGGTTGTGAGTTCGAGTCTCCCCAAGAGTAAGGTGAGAAGTTCTTGGAGGGAAATATGCTGAGGGTCTATTTGGAAATAACCTCTTTATCCCAGGGTAGGGATAATGTCTGCGTACACACTATCCTCCTCAGATCCCACTAAGTGGGATTACATTGGGTTATTGTTGTAATGAAAGGTTAAAAAAATAAGAAAAGAAAGATAATTGTGCTATACATCTTAGTTCCCCTTTTCATTACGGTGACAAACGTGATTCAAAATATTAAGAGTTGGGTTATTGTTGTAATGAAAGGTTAAAAAATTAAGAAAAGAAAAATAATTGTGCTATACATCTTAGTTCCCCTTTTTAGTACGGTGACAAACGTGATTCAAAATATTAAGAGTTCGTTTGGTGTGACAGATAAGTAAAAATAATTCTGGAATAAAAATTTGTATTGATTTAATCTTTGTTTGGTTTCTGTCCAAGATTATAATTAGTATCAAAATAACTTATAACTACTGGAGAGTGGAATATTAATCCAGAATAAGTAATTCTAGAATAAAACAGTAAAATTGACAATTATAGGATTAATAAAATCTTAATACAGTAAAATCTCTCTATAACAACATCGCTATATAACAATCATTCTTTATAAAAGTCAAGTTGCCTTTGGAACCAATTTCTATGCTATGTTATAATATATATTTTGTATAACAACATTTTGCTATAACAACCAAAAAAATCTGAAACAAAAAGAAAATAAAAATATTTGATTACATAACTAATCCAAACATAATTTATCCCAATATAACTTGTCTTCGAACCAAACTGCCCCTAAATGTGATAACTTTTTACATTTTTTTACCGGACTTGAAAGAAAAAGATCAAGGGTATCATTGTGTAACCACTAGTACATTCTAGACGTTGTAGAGATGTGGTAAATAAGAAAGCCACATCAACCTGCTCACTCAACAATCCAGCCAAATCAGTCCACGTGAATTCCTTGCTTTTATGGCCCAGACTTTACTTACGTGGCTCTTAAAATATCCATCCCTTTTTCCCATGCCTATAGCTATAAATACCATACCAAACATCTTCAACTTTATTCGAGTTAATTTTGTTTATTATTCTAGTGATCAAGAAGCTATATATATATATATATATA